ATGGTTACCAAGGATCCACCTACATTTCCAAATTTAGAAAGTTTTCAGTCTATTTTCAATCAATAGAGGAGCTTACACATGCTATCACAAAAGTGCAAGAAACACAACATAACCCCATATTTACTATTGCTAACCCTGCAGCAAAAAAGCTCAAACAAGATGCCGAAAAGGGAAGAACCTTTAAAGTTTTGGACATTCCCTTATTTGTCAAATCTGATGTACTCCATAATTTTTTCTCCAGATATGGTGCGATCACCAGATTCTCAATGATTATTTGTGGTCCCTGGCAAATCGCCTTCATTGTTTTCAAAAATGCTGACATAATTAAACCTTTCTACAATGACCTTTGGTCCATTAAATTTCTTGATACTGCGCTCAAAACTAAACCGACTGATCTCGATCCCATGCAAATTGCTTTGAGACAGCAATTTGAACTAAAACTAACTGGTCTTCCTTTCAATACCGATCAACAACAATTAGGAGATTTCCTTACACACATCAAAGCCAGAACATGCTTTATTCCACATGACTAACAATACAGACTTAAATCCTACGCATTTATTAATTTTGCATCGCTTGAAGACCTTGATGCTGCAGCAGCGCAGTCACAGAAATTCAAAGGAAAATACTTTACTGGATGGAACCATCGAACAAACATTGTCGCAGTTGTAGTGCTCTTGACCACAAATTCAAAGACTGTACAAATCGCAAACCAGCAAATCTTTTCAGACCGCTTTACAACCGTTTTAAACCAGAGCCTTATCATCCACCACGTAACAATACCTATAATAATTTCAAAGGTGCCACACCATATATCAATGCTCTTAAAAACACTCCTCCCAAGAATGATGAAAAACCACATACCACAGTTTCCCTTAACCTTATTGATGCGCTAAAAATCATTCAGGAAAGATTAGACAATATCAAAAATAAGCTCATCACGATCAATGATAAAATTGTCTCCATAAAAAATGATTTAATTGAACATCAAAAAACTGAAAAAGACATCGGATTTAGACTTAACCGTCTCAAATATATGCATAACATCAAATACGACATCAAACATGCTACTGACCCTAATTACGTTTTTCCTTCACATGATGATTATTTTATGTTCGAAGATACTACTACGCCTGCACCAACCCAAGAAAACAAATCACCTATTATTTCTAACGAATCAGCTGTTCCTAATACAAACTCTTCAATCAATCTTCAAAGAATTGGTATCATTGAATCATCTGTTAATGAAATCAAGAGTGAAATGAGAAATTTGATCGCCACTATCAGCCCAATTATTCAAGCGAGTAATATTTCTCAATGAGTATACATTCCCAAACAAAAAATTTTAATGGAACGTCCCATACGATTTCTACTAATATCAATAATACTACAAACGCAAATTTTTTCTCTATCATTAACAATCCCAATCTACTCTTAATCGCCACACACAACGTACAAAGCTGTGTTTCATCAAACAGACTTCAACAAATCGAACAATTTTTTATCAGTTTCAACCTCGACATTTTAGGTCTCAGTGAAACTCATCTCACATATTTACAAGCTAGATCTCTTAATAATAATTTGCATGACAAACCTTATAAATTTTTCTTTCACAGCACAAATCGTTTTCAAAATTGTCAAGGGGTTGGACTTTTAATTAGGAATAATCTTTGTTCACACCTCTTCAATCAAGGCTCCTACTTCGATAGAATCCTACACTTAGACTTTCAATTTAAAAACAAATTTAAGTTACGTATTATTCAAGTCTATCTCCCTGCAAGTTATCACGATAAAAAATCTTTTAAATATAGGCTACAAATTCAAAACAAACTAATGGATATCTTAGTTCAAAGTCGGAAAAATAATTTTCACGTCATCCTCATGGGTGATTTCAATATCGACATTTCTAGAAATTACAAGGCTAAATGCAAAAGGATCTTACAAAGTTTTCTACATAATATCATCAATCTTGGCTTTCTTCATACAATTTCTCCTTTCACATCCTCTTTTCCCGCTACCTTCACCTCTACCTCTAACTCATTTTCTTCTCACATCGATTATATTTTCATTTCGTCTTCTCTCGCACACGATCTTGTTTCCTTTGATATTTTAAATAACCTCTCCTTTCTTTACTCATCAGATCATCTCCCCCTTCTTATATCACTTTACAAAAACAATTTTTTCAATCAGTCATCCAACGCATATTCAAAACAACATAAAATCACCAAGCAGAATTTTCTTTTCAACAAAACTACTTTACTTCAATGGGATTTCTTCGCAGACAAAATGGATCTTCTACTTAAAACCAATCCAAAGTACCGAACTTGTACAGCTCACGATCTTTGTAACTCTCAAAACTCTCTTAATGCTGCTTGGGATTTCTTTGTTAATACAGTCATTACCTCTGCTAAAAAACATATTCCCAAACAAACCACAACCTCACGCCATAATTCTTTATTCACCTTTTCCAACTCCTCAATCCACAAACATGTTAAAAAACTATCTAAACTCTATTATAAAATTAACAAATTCCTAATTCAATCACCTCTGCCTTCCACTCCTTTTCCTATTTCTATCGAAGAACATAAATCATTACTAACCATTGCTTCTCAATACTCTATCTCAACAGCCTCCATTGATGGTCATTTTCTTGCAAACCGTCCTCTAAATTATTTATCTGAACTAAAAACTGATGTTATTAAACCCATGCAAGCCAAACAACAGATTATCTCTAGATCTGAAAATAATGAACGGATCTCAGAATTCATTAAAAAACGAAATGACAATTTCAAAAATTCACCCACCAAGATGATAGACTCTTGTCTTGAAAGGAATAGAAAAGCAATTATTCTCGATCGAATAATGATTCACGCAGACACGTCTGAGCAACATCTAGAATTAATTCCTGATGAAATTAAAAAACAAACGGCTTTACATTTTCAAAAAATTGCTGGATCTTCAAATAGAAACATATCAACTAGTCAATCACTAAACTTCAATCAAAATTGGAACAACTGGGAATGTCATTATGATCCTATTGAGACCATCGACAATGTTTGCTACGACAATTTCAGATATTTTTCTATATTTTAAGTTATTTACTATGTTAGGCGTATCCCACTTAATATGTTCATCTAGAGTATGACATTCTAACTAACAACTTAAACCGCTTGTTATAATCTAAATTAGGTACTTGGTATAAAAGGTACTGTCAAATTTGAATAGAAATAACATCTCAGCCATAGTGAATGTCATTACTATTTTACTAATAATCTAGTAAACTATAATCAGGAATCAATTACTTAGTTTGGTTTGATTACAACTATATAGAGAGCCGTAGAGTTCATGAGATAGTACCACAAGATTTGCCCAAACAGTAATCTCCAGTTGCGCATATAGACCACATCAACCAAGTGATTTGATATCCAAAACATCAAACAACTTAAAAATTGAACCTAACCTCTAACCCTAGTGACAGCTTGATTAGCAGTACCATGAGCGTGTAATACAGTTTATTATCACTGCTAATCTAATCTACTAAATCCTAATCAATCACTTTCTTAAACTTTATTAAGGATCCCTACAGAGTGAGATGTAAGATTGTATCCATTACAGACCAATCAGTGGAAGCTAAGTTTCTGTTAATCTAAGGCTTCATTTGCATCTACATATTCTAATGCTATGTAGTATTTAGGTATAATCAATATTGATCAAATGGATCAATCAATCAGATTTGTACGCATGTTAGTACATACGCCTATCAATTCAGTCACATATAAAATTCTTATGAAAATCATCTAGTTTATATATCGGCTGATACCTGAATTGATGGCCTATTGCTGTATAATGAAACTTAATAGGAGACTCACAGCTTAACCACTAAGCCAGGACTGTCACATCCCATGAATGTTCATTTCTATGACTGTTATGAAAGGAGATACATAACTGATTCCTTTTCCAGAATTAGTAAACCTTCATCATAAAAACTTTCAATATTTTCACAAATAAAGAGTAATATGAACATGGACGTGAACATAAAAGTAAGATATTTTTCACTTACTTGATTCCATTTGGTTAAACGTCTGAAGTAAAAGAATTTTTTTTTTACTAAAAAGATTTTAGGTAAGACGGAAAGTTGTAGAGTATAGTATGGTTGATCAATTGAGTATTGTATGGTATATAATTGATGTTGAGTATGACCTTTTATACTTAATTGCTAGGAGTTAACATTAATATTAGTTAGTTTAGGATTAGGTTAGGTCTGTTTAGTATAACAAAAATATACTCAAAACCATTTCACGTGATATACTATACTCATTTGGTCGACTGTCTGTATCACTCAAAGATTTTACCTCACGTAAATTATCAATTTATAAGTATGTGGTGTATACAAATTAAATCATACTTTATGATGATATTCTGATATCATAGATTTACATCACTGCGAGTTTACTTATATTAGCAACCTTTCCAAATTAGTTATTAGATACTTTGACCAATAATTTCAGATGGTTGAAAATGTTTTTAGCCAATGATTTACGATTTGGGACAATATATTGTTGATCAAAAACCCGAACTGAAACAATTTCAATCCGAAAAATCTTTTCTTTTTATTAAATTTAATCAAAATGCAGATGGAATATGAGATATTTGAAGAGTTTGAAGATGCTAAAAATTCTTCACATTTATCGCATTTTATGCTCGCGAATGAATTTTTTGAAGCTTTAAATATTTTATTAAAACCCGTATCATCCAAAGAAGATTCTTCCGTAGAAGACATTGAACACGAAAGAACTTTAAGAAAGGCTATTTCTTTTGTACGTAACAGTGTTTTAATTAATAAGTTGCGTTAATTGTCTTATTCTAAAAAACATTCTTTTTTATCTGTATTGATTCATGTATTTTTTGGAATAAAAACTTCGATCTTTACCTTTTTAAGATTGATCCATTTCAAGAACAACCATATCTACTTGATCCACATTTAGAGGCCATGGTTAAACCCATAATTGAATTATTAAGAATTTATATTAAATCAATAAATGCTCAGCATGTAGTTCTCTCAAAAAATATTACATATACTGACAATAAAAATGGAGAATATATTATAATCCCAATTAAGATACAAAGATTATTTAGGCTTATGTATTATATTATGAAAATTCGCGGATTTAAAACCATCGGTAACCTTACTTTATTTTTACATTGTTTTATTTTTTAAAGTTCAAAATTTTAACTGACTTTTACTTTTTGGCCGGTTTTTAGTAAAGTTCTTCACTCATGAAGTATCAGATTTAGAACCAACATTTTATTTTTTGGTAGCATTAGATCCAAAAGATTACGAAATTTGGGAAACTAGATATGTTTTACTAATTTGGTTATCTCTTATTTGTATTATACCTTTTGATCTAAAAACAGTTGATAGTAGAGTAAATGGTGGTGAAAGTAATAAGGTTAATATATATGTATAATTCTAATTAAATAATTTGAGTTTTTTTATTTATTCGATTAATCTAAAATTTGTATGCTTAGTTTCCTTTGGTAGATCATATGATTGGTTTATCAAAGTTTTATTTGAAAGCTACTGGTAAAGAGAGAGATGGTGCAGCTGTGCTTTTGTCTAGATTATTGACAAGGTTTGAACGATCCTAAATTGTTTTAATTTTAAATTGATGGAGTCTAACTTCATTAATTGTAGACGGGATATAGCTGAAGCATATTTAAAAGATTATATCCAATGGGCAGGAAGTGAAGTTAGAAATGTTATAGATGTATTTACGGTACATAAAGTTATAAGATCTTATTAAAATATATTTTAGCAAATATGCATATCAAGAAATTTATATTTAATATTTCTATAGATTACCGGTATTCTCACTTCACTTTGTGCAATTTATAAGTTAGGCCAAAGACAAACATTACTCCCTACACTTGAGCAAGCTTGGCCATGTTTATTTTTACTTGAAGAAAATGAAATATTTGCTAATAATACTTTGGTCAGAAAGATGTTGGTAAAATTAGCTCAAAGATTTGGAATGTGTTATTTAAAACCTAAAATTGCCACTTGGAGATATCAAAGGGGTCATTATTAACCAAATTTTATTTCGTTATAATTATATTTTGAATAGAGTTAAAAGTTACTTAATTAATTTTATTAGGAAATAGAACTCTTAAGGATAATTTAAAAGTTTCTGGTAAAATTAACGCAGGAATTAATCCTTCTAATATCCATCAATCACTTAAAGAAGACGAGGAAGAGGAAGAGGAAATACCAGATCAAATTGAAGAAATAATTGAAATTTTATTAAATGGTTTACGCAATAAGGTGAACGTTATAAGATCTATTTCATTTATTATAAAACAGAAATTTAATTTTTTTTTTTAATAGGATACTGTTGTTCGTTGGTCTGCTGCTAAAGGAATTGGAAGATTATCAATGAGATTACCTCGAGAGCTTACTGACGATGTGATAGGGTCCTTATTTGAATTATTTTCAGAGAATACTTATACGCGTAATGGTGTTCTCGAGGTGTCTGCAGTATCAGATCATACTTGGCATGGAGCTTGTTTAGCTGTAGCTGAATTGGCAAGGAGAGGATTGTTATTACCTGAAAGATTATCTGAAGTTATTCCTTGGATTAGCAAGGTGAGTTATGTATTATAATTTATATACGTTATATTTATTATATTAATCTTTTTACTCAATAGGCGTTAAAATTTGATTTGAAACGTGGAGCACATTCAATTGGAGCACATGTGAGAGATGCAGCATGTTATGTATGCTGGTCATTTGCGCGTGCGTATGCACCAGACATTTTAGCTCCTTATGTTCCCGAGTTAGCAAATAGTCTTGTGGTTGTCTCAGTATTTGATCGGGAAGTTAACGTTAGACGTGCAAGCAGTGCTGCTTTTCAAGAGAATGTTGGTCGTCAGGTAATTAATTGTCTTTATTCTTAATTGATTTTTATTATTTTTTTTATCATTTTTTATCATTTTATTTCTAGGGAATTTTTCCTCATGGTATTGATATTGTTACCTCGGCCGATTATTTTACCGTAGGAAATAAGGTTAATGCTTTTTTGGAAATTAGTGTGAAAATTGCAGAGTTAGTATAATTTAAATCAAGATTATTTATTCATCTACATTAAAATATTTTAATATGGTATAATTGCAATTAGGTTTGTAGAGTACAGATATCATTTAATTGATCATCTCCGTACAGTAACAATAACAAATTGGGACAAAACTATGAGGGAATTAGGATCCAAAGCATTACATAATCTTACTCGACTTGATCTTGATTATATGATAAATAAAGTCCTTCCTTCACTTGTATGTCAAAATGTCAAATTCTTTTAGATATCGTTCGTGATAACTGAAATTTAATTTAATTTTTCTAAAAATAATTTTTATTTAGATACCACAAGCTTTATCACCTGATATGCATATTAGACATGGAGCATTATTATCAATTGGAGAAATTTGCTTAGCGTGGTCAACTATTCAAGGAAATCATAAAGGTTGGATTGAAAAATACAATTCTTTGGTTACGGTAATAATATAAACCTTTTTTATGAAAGTTTTTTTTATTAAAAAAAAGAATACATAAGCAAATTAAAAAAAATTTCAATTTTTAGCAAATATCGAATATAATAGGATTATTGCCAAAGCACGTGTTTGCAGATTTCGGTTCAGAAGTTACATGTAAAGCAGCATCACATTATATAGCATGTTTAGCAAAAGCGGGATGGCCAATTAATGAAGATATATTGGAAAAATGGAAATTTGTTGTGTATGATTTACTAGGAAGAAAAGATGAATTTGGACAAGAAATTGCTGTTAATGCTGTTGAAGCACTTATTCTTCAATATGGAATTATTGGACAGGAAATTGAAAAATATCCTTTTATATAAATATTTAATAAAATGATATTATTAGTTTTTAGGTCCTTAATTCTGTATTACGTATATAGGTCATGTACATCCAGCAAAGAACGCATATGCAAGAAGGGGATTTTCATTAGCTTTGGGCGTAATTAGATTTAATAATAAAGATGTTGAAGATTATTTAGAGATTGTAATTGATGCTTTAATATCATCCGCTACCATACAGGTTTGTATTTTTTGTTACATGAAGCAAATTAGGCTTGGTAGAATATATAATCGGGTTTTTTTTGATTATAGGAAACAAAATTATGGAATGATGCGGAAACTAGAAGGAACTCTATTTTATCATTGACAAAAATTTTCAAGAATTTAGGAGAGGACTTTAAAACTGGCGAGTTTATTTAAATTAATTAAATTTTTTTATTTATAATTTAAATTTTTTTTTAAATTTTTAAATTTAATATTTATATAGTTGGTAATGAAAGAATATTTGAAAAAATAATTAATGCCTATTTCATGGGATTTGAGGATTATAGTACAGATTCAAGAGGAGATATTGGAAGTTGGATAAGAGAAGCTAGTATGGTTGGATTTCTCGAAATTATTCCACTTATAATTAAGTTAGATTCAATTTCAACAAGTAAACAATGGTGGAAGACTGAATTAAATGCAAGAATATTCGGTAATTTATTAAAACAAAGTGTTGAGAGAATTGATAGAGTAAGGTCTTGTGCTGGTAGAATTTTATTGGAGCTTTTGTATATGAAAAAAAATGATGCCGATTGTTGGGTTATTGAAATACCAGGAAGAGATGTATTACAAAAGGTTTTGCCAAAGTGGGTGAAATGTATTAATAAATTGTTATTTTATTTTTATTTTTATTTGTTAAAATAGTATTATATTTGTAGAGATGAAGTAATACGTTGGATAAATCCTTCAGAATTATATCCTAGAATGGTGAAATTATTGGTTATACCCGAATATAGATTTGATTTACTTACAGGATTGGTACTTGCAGCTGGTGGAATTTCTGAATCTTTAGTTCGATATTCGAGTAGTAAATTACTTGATTATGCAAGTACATTATCAATTGATCCTCCTTATGTATCTTCATCGGAATCAAAAGTATCATTAACAGAATTTGCAAAATCATTACTGGATATAGCACAACATTTTCAGAAACATGATAGAATAATAATACCATTATTAGAGGTGGTTGATTTATTATTTGAGGCCGGAACATTACAAAAGATAAATAATGAAAAGGAATTTTTGGAATTATTTGAATGTGTGAAGAAAGAGGTCACTAAATGTAAAGATATTAGAAAATTGACTGCTTGTATGAAAGTGTAAGTAATTTGAATTTTTATAAACTTTCTCTTTTTTTTTAGAATAAAAATAAATTATTTTGTTTTAGATTTTGTGGAATGTCTTCATTGAGCGGTACAGTGCGAAATAAAGCATTGTATCATTTACTTAATTTATTGGTTCACCCATTTCCAAAGGTAAATATGATTGTAACTTATTATAAAATAAAACAAACCGAATAATTATAATCTTAATATAGATTCGAAGAAGTACAGCAGACCAATTATATTTAACACTTAGTGGATCTGTTGAAGAAGAAACCGAAGAATCTTTGGAAATTGAAGAAATATTAACAAATACCGATTGGTTAGTTTTGTTAATTTTTAAATGTAAATAAATAATATATATCTTTTTTAACACAATTATATTTTAAATAGGAATGAATCTGTATCAAAATTAAAGGAAATTAGAAATCGATTATATCCATTATTAGACATAAAGCCACCAGTATTGAAATCTTCATTATCAACTACTACTAAGTAAAATAACAAATTATTTAAAAATAGATTATTCTTTAAATTTAGAGACAATTTGACTTGTTAATTAAAATCATTTTAAATTATTTTTAATATTTTTTTTATATCATAATAAATTTTATAATATTTTCTAATTAAAATTCAAAAAACAAAAATTGCTATTATAATTATTTAGATTACTATTTATTAATCTTAGAAATATAAAAATATCATTATTTAATACATTTTTAATATCTAATAAATTAATTTCAATTATTAGATAATAAATTATTTTAAAATATTTAAAATATTTTACTAATATAATTTATGATTTATTGATATAATCATTATCTATTGGTAAATTGATAATGTTAACAAGTTGTTGGTAAGGTTGCTTGTCTAAACTCATTTTGGATTTGGCTAAATGTCTAAACCTTTAGTTTTGCTAAATTTTTACTAAGTG